GAAGGCAGGCCACAGGCAAATTGGAAAGGGGGATATTTTTTTTGAAAGAGGGGGGCCGTAGTCTAGCCAAACGAGAGTACGGGACCACCATTCAACAGAAGAAACTATTTATATAAATGTGTGTGCAACCATACAATTTCCTTTTAGAAAACCGTGTGGCCAAACTTCACAAGGGCACTCGTCTGCAGGGGTCAACAGACAGGCCTGCCTAATAGAAATCTCGTACGATTAACCTCTTTTTTGTGAGCATAAAAAATATATTATTATTATTAATCCAACCCTTCTCAAGGAGTTCGTCTAATTTCTTGTGCAACTCCTCTAGCTCTCTAGGGGACTTCCTGTAGATTGCGCTCTTAGGAGTTTTACTGCCAGGCTCTATCTCTATCCTGTGCTGGATCGGCCGCGACACTACTCCTGTTTGCGGCTCTGTGAGATCTTTAAACTCTTCCAGCAGCTTCGCAATGGCTGGATCTGTGGCACTATCCTCTTGCTTCGTCTCAGTGACAGGCCTTACATACACTACGAAGACCTGATCCTCTAATTGCTGCTTTCTCACTAATCGCGCGAACGAGGGAGCACTGAGGCAGCGATGTGCCAAGGAGTTATCTACTCCAGACACATGGAATAGACGGGTTGTCTTAACTTCGCCTGGCAGACTAGGGAGCCCACACTCATGCTTTCTTAAGTGGAGTGTGGCCCCTGCTGCCTCTCCCCAGTCCATACTTGGGACTATATCAAAAGGAAGGTCATCCTGAATGAGGAGAGTCAGGGAATGAAGAACTTTCTCCACCTTCCCATCTTTCTCTAGGCGAAAATACGTCTGGACTCCCTCTACGTAGTCCTCAACACGCATTGTGCGGTTGTGTGCGAGGACACTAACTATGGGATCTTCCAATTTCTGGACTTTCAATCCTAGCCTCAACTTCTTCAGCGCCCCACGGCTAATATAACTACGGGTAGCCCTTGAATCTATAAGGGTCCCAACTGTACTCTTGAAAACTTCTACATAAACTAACACTAGCTGCCCTTTATTGTCTTTCTTCATCTTGGCCCAGACAGGCATCCTCTCCTTCAATTCCTCTACCACGTCTGACAGGGACGTGCCTAGAGAGACGCCGACACAAGCAGTCTCTGGACAACTAACTAGGCACGGGTCTGCAACCTCTGTCGAAGGCTCATGTGGTGTAGGAGTTTCCTGTACGCGCGCGCTTGTTTCCCCACATGGCCTAATAGTAGGGGCAGTTGCAACCCCTACCGGCGGCTGCCTTTTGACTCCTGGGCAGCCCAACGGGCCTGTCTTTATTTAGGACAATCTTTTATGATATGGGACCGGTCACCACAATAGATGTACTGCCTCTTCTCCATACATTGCTGCCAGACTTTCTCATATAGGCCCAGATCTTCCCAGGGCCGGCCTTGCGGCCAACTTGGGTGCCAACCTCCTCTTCTTTGAGGTGATCCTCCACCTCGTCTTTGCGGGGACCGACTGGGACCTTGACGATTTGGCGGGGGACCTTGACCCCTACCTCCCTCTTGGTGGTTCCTTTGGCCGCCAACCCCCTAAGCGCCCAATCCTCGGCCTCCCGTGGCCTGGCCCCTTTGGCCCTGGCCTCCTCCTCTACTTTGCGGCCTCCCTTCAGCCACGACAACTACATAGGAGCTCCCTTGTCCTACCTAAGTTACTGTCCTCCTCCTCGAGGCCCCACTCAATCTGATTGTAGGGGACCTCGTCAGTACCACCTTCGTCTAAAGTAAGGATCAAATGATCCTTGGCCCTAACTTGGCCTGAGATGGTACGACCCTTCCACTTTTGTCCCTTGTCTAAGTCCGTGTGCTAGAAAGTGGAAACTGGCATGGACTTGGCCTCAAACAAGACCACTTCCCTACTCAATGCATCGTATGTGACGTTGGGCTGCTGGGTCTTGTCAAAGAAGTGCCCTCGTAAGGGCTCTGGCATGGAACGATAAAACAACTGAACCAATTGGGTCTCAGTGACCCCGTGGTCAGGGACGGCTACCAAGTCGTCCATGACAGCTTTGAGTGCTCTCGCACTCCTCCACTGTCGTGAATGGATGGTTTGAAGCTTATCGGAGACCCTAACGCCTCTAGTGACGTCAGCAAACCTCTCGCACAGGAGTTTGAGGAAAGTGGTGAGGGGGTTAAGCTTGGAATATGCGATCATATTGTGCTCGAAATCTGCGGCACGTGCGAGGGACCTGGCGAAGCTGGCTGCTTCGTCTTTTAAGGCGTGGAAGGCGACGAGGACTTGTTCCTCAGGAGCGATATGTTGTAAATACACATAAGTATTGACACCGGCCTCCCAGTTGTCAAAACTTTTCCCTTCTTCCCGCTATATAAATATGGAAACTTGAGTTTAACTGGCTCCTTGCGGGGACGCGTCGTGGCCTCTACTGTGGCCACCGCTTTGGCACTCTCAATGACGCCTAAGCAAAACTTGTCTACGCCATCCCTCAATCTTCTAAATTCGGTCCCGTGGTGACCCACGTCGCTCACAAATTCTCTGAACCCGGATCGCATTGCTTGTAGGGTCACCTCTTGACCCTTACGGGCCTGGTGCTCCTCCAGCCAGGCCTCACTCAAAACTTCTAAGAAGCTCATCATCTTGTCTAGCTTGGCAGAGACCTCTGTTTGGGCTTGTATCTCCTGCCTTCCGATTTGCACTCGCTCAACCTCCCCGGCTCTTCTGTTGACTTCCTCCCTCCTTCTCTTCTTTTCCCTCATCATCTTCAACTTCCACTCCAACTTCTTCTCATCCTCTGTCGCCTGGCGTTCCAGGGGATCCTCTATCAGCTCCAGGGCCCTGACAAACGCCTCCCTCTCCTCCTGCGACACATATAACTGTGCCTCTTCATCTTCTCCCAAAGATAAGTTAGCCACCCATTCACTAATCTTCCTTTCCCTCCATCTGTCCTCCTCCTTCGTGCCACTTGCTTCCCCTCTCTCTTCTCCACGTCTCCTTTCAAGGGGCTCTTCTTCTTCTTCTTCTTCCTCCTCCTCTGCTGCTGCTTCTTCCTCTGTAGCCCTTCTTCCTTCCTCCTCCTCTCTCTCTAACATCATCATCTTCCCCTTTTGAAATTTCAGCATCCCCTCCTCCAATCTCTTCTTCTTCATCGCCTGCTCCTCTGCAATGGCCTTTAGCTTCACTTGTTTAAGGAACTTTTTCTTCTCCTTTCTCTCTCTCAAAAGGGCGGCGATCCGGGCCTGTTCGGCCTCGGACGGGGCAGTACTCTTCCCACTACGGGTGTCAACCATGGTGATTGATGCACAACGAGACAGTGGTTCCACTCCTCACCACTTAGACTCTACTCCCCCTGACTGACACACCTACCGACTCAATCTAAAGACTTATAGAATCCGGACAGGATCCTGTCAACTAGGATCTCTAGCCTAGACCTACTCTAAGGCTGTCACTACAAGACCTGTTGCTGATGAGGAGGCATTTAAGGAGATCCCCCGTAACTCCTCAAGAATTATTTAACGTCGGAGACAGGACGACGCGATCAGCAGGTCTTCTCAACACTTAGACAGCCTATTGTGCAGCCCACAACTCGGATTTTGGGCCTACCGTGCCACACCGAGCAGCCCGCCGGTCAGTACCGGTCCTTGGGAGGGTTCATGTCCTCCGGGACGGTCGAGTCGTTAGACACAGTCTTTAGCCCTACTCAGCCCATGTGGGTTTGGTCAATGAGGCCCTATCCTTCATCCACAGAGTTCCTATCACCTGGACAGAAGAGACTCAATGCAGAAAGAAGAGGCAGACAGACTTGACTCAGCAAGTTCCACAGGGTGTGTGCACATCCATAGGGCGAGGGGATAGGCTGAAGGCTTGGCGAGATTTTACCGGCTCCAGCTTGGTCAAACTTGTGGTCAACGGCCTTGGTCAACGCTGCAGTCAACCCCCGGTCAACTCCTGGTCAACGCTGGTCAACCCCGGTCAACGTCCAGTCAACTTCCGGTCAACGCCGGTCAACTCCTCCGGTCAACTCCGGCTATGGCGGCCGGCTGCACCTTTGTCGCCATCCTTCTCCTTCCTTCTCCCTACCTCGCCTCCTTCTTCTACACCCCGTCTGTCTTCTTTTTTTTTTTTTTTTTTTTTTTGATCGTCTCTCCTTCCACCTCCTCAGCTATGGCTGCCTTCACCCTCCTTGGTCTCCTCCTCTGTCCTTTCCTTCTCCCTCTTTGTTACTCCGTGGTCAAGCTCTGCGGCTATGGCCGCCTCCTTCTTC